TGTGTGTGTGTGTGTGTGTGTGTGTGTGTGTGTGTGTGTGTGTGTCTTCCATCCATTTAATGAAAGGCGGGTAGATGGGGCAGGACGGAAGGAAGAGCTAGAGGGACAGACGGACAGAGACTGCGCACCGCAGAGAACCAACTCCACCCGAACTGGGGAGAGAGGAGCTAAGAGCTCCAGGAAAGATCAAGGGATGAGTGGATGGATGGAAAGCCAGAGGAGGAGCGCCCCAGAAAACCGGTGTGTATCAGGCCACGTTTGTACTTGTAAAAGGGTGGAGAGGAGAAGTAGGCAGAAAGTCCCGCGGGAGTCGTGGGACCCACGAGTGATTCTTGTGCCAGCGGCGTTGGGGTTGGATGGGAGTGGAGACGAGGAAGAAATGCCCCAGCTGCAAAGAAGCACGAGGGACCAGAGGGTGGTTAGCAGACCTTTAGAGTGGCTAGTAGATGTGTGAATACATGACAAAGAGGCAGGTCCCCAAGGGGGGAGGAAGGGTCCTTGAAAAATGGTCAACACCAAATGTTGATAGTGGGATGTTGAAACTTTTGAAACTGGATGGTAATTATGTTTTACATCCAGAAAAAAATGTCTTCTTTAGGAAAATGATAAAGCCATTCAACAGTAACACGTTAAAAAATATCTTAAGGGAAATTACTACATTTCTCAGTTGCCATTTGAAGATAAGAGAATACAAACTTGGACTTTGCTAAATCTACCCACTCAAGTATGTCTAACATGTTTCCTCCTCTTTGCCCAGGTCAGTTTCCCAGCATGCAGATTGTGTTACTGGGCCAAGGAAGTGGCCACCTAAATTTTGCTGCAAGTCCTTCTTATAGGAAATGCAGGAAGGAAATCCCAGAAGAAAAAAAAGGGGGGGGGGTGATATAAACTTTTTATTCATTTCCTCACTCCTCCACCATAACCTAGTGGCTCCATATGTCTGTGTTGGAATTCAAATTCTCAGACATAGGGGCCTCTTTGATTTATGAACCCCAGTGCTCTCCAGGGCAGTATCTGGGGCTGAGAGGTGGCATTTTTGCTCAGACCTCAGTGCTGAGGGCAGGAGCGTTCATGTCCTGGACCAGGTCCTCTGCTCACTCACCCAGAGACTGAAGGTGATGGATGATGTGGCTTTGAACTTTTGCCCTAATCCTCCTGGGCTGTGGCTGCAACTTTTCCTTGAAAATTCTATTCATTTTCCTACACAGGCATGCAGAAATACTTTAAACTACCCACCACATTCTGCTCTCTGGGCAAATTGCCTTCTCACTTTTGAGTTCAGAACCTCCACTTGCCTGAGTAAAGCTACCTCCCTAATGGGAACCCACAAGATTTCTCTTTCTGAGAAAAACCAACATATGGGAAAAGTTCAGCTTCTCCAAGGAAGGTTATGCATACATATGGTCAGATTTCAAGACATGATTGTTTTGAAAGGGAGTGGTTATAAACTGATAGCTTTTGTAAGTTCGATGTGCTGTCCCAGAAGAGGGTGCCTGTCACAGTTCTTCAAAATTAGCATCAAAGTAGATACTACTTTCAGAAGATAATGCAGAATGCAAACCCCTGGAACCCAATTAAGGTAACATTGGTTTCCATGGGGTGCCTGGATGGCTCAGTTGGTTAAGCATCTGCCTTAGGCTCAGGTCCTGATCCCAGGGTCCTGGGATTGAGCCCCACCTTGGGCTCCGGGCTTAGCAGAGAGCCTGCTTCACCCTCTCCCTCTGCTGCTCCCCCTGCTTGTGCGTTCTCTCTCTCTCTCTGTCAAATAAGTGAATAAAATATTAAAAAACAGATGACATTGGTTTCTTTACATTGTACCTTATAATGATGAATGGTAAGAAAGGTTCCCAAAACCCTTAAAAGAATTGGTGTAGCTAGGACACTTGCTCTTCTGATTCAAAAGCAAGTAGTATATTTCTGCATGCTCATAGCTCTGTATAAAAAATTATAAAGCTCCAGATCCTCTAGGACTCTTTCATTAATTCATCTGCAGTATTGGCATCCTCAAAGTTGTTTTTCTGTGGCTGTAACAGGTGATGTTACAAAAGCAACAAATAAAATAGTGCTTCTGAAACTCTATATTAAATAAATTTATTTTAAATAATTGTTTTCATTTCATTTTAAATTTAAATTTATTTTAAATAATTGTTTTCATTTCATTTAAACAATTTCATTTCATTTCAATTGTTTTCATTAACTTACATAGTTACATAAAGTTGTTTTTCCATTTTATTTACTCACCAATCTACACATCGTGGTATTAGTTTATCAAAAACATTTATTAATAAATAATTTGCTGCCAAATATCGGAACGTCTTTAAAAATTATCTGCAATTCTCTAACATGAAACTGGTTTGAACCAACAACGTGGGAAGCCGTTTCCTTCACAACCTGTAAATATATCATGACAGAGTAGAAAATCTTCATAACACAGAAGATAGTTAAAATCATTGAAATCTTACATTTAAACCAGGCAGGATACCTTATGAACGTGACTAGAGAAATAAAACATGGTGTTCTTAGAAGTATGAATACATGGTATTGTTAGATATCACAGGAATATCAGCCTCTTGTGGGCAAGAATTATTAGAGCACTACGTTATTCAACCAGTTTTCATCAGTACTTACAGACATGTGGTCATCGTCCACGATGTTTCATATTCAATGATAATTGTGCTCCAGGAACAATGTAGTATTATCTCTGTTTGGGGAAATGTGAGGTGCATAAAAATAACTCCACAATCCACCAGTCTATGAGGAAATTTAGAAAAACTTTACTATACTTCTGATTAATATTTAGTTGACAGTGGCTTA